GTAATGGCTGACCTGGGACCACTGGAATGACAGAAGCAACTCTGTGGTACAGTTTTGACTGATTTGCCCTGTCCTATGACTTAACAGACCTTGCAATGACCAGGAAAGACACTTTGAATACAACTGGTGGATTGTACATCACAGTTCCGTCTTTTTTTCAGGATGTAGCCATGTGAGACAGTTAATGAATTTTTCTCTCTATGACAGCTTCCCCCCACTAAATCTGTGTTCATTCACAGGAACTAGCACATAGTTGTTGGAACTCTGCCCCTACCTAGAACTTAGGTCTGCAAAGGATTTAAGTTTGAGCTGAAGAGGATGTTCTGATTACTGAGGGGAAATTACTTTGTTTTTTCTTGAAAAGACCTCTCCACTGTTCATGTTGAAAATCTTGAATCCAGTTTTCATTCCAAAATGCCTCCCTCTCAAGTACAATATAACATTTGAAAGTGTACACAATGTAAAATGTCTTGAGACATTTCTTCCCTACATGGAATCATTCCTTTCCTTCTCAGTGTCTCACTTCCTGGAAAAATATTGGTTGTCTGTCTGAGCATAATGTCATGATCAACATGACATTATAGCAACTCAGATTTGGGCAGAATGACACACACGCAGCCATTAGAGTAATCAGTAAAGCAAGAAGAGCTCAAAACGTACAAGAATCCCACAACCCTGAGTCATTATTTACATTACCTTTCCCTGGACATGCCAAAGAATAGCAAATTCCACCCCCTCACTCACCACACACACAAACAGTTGAGGGGTTTTTTCCCCATAAGACAGTCCTATCCTGCAAGGACTAATTTTGACTGTCAGATATCCCCCAGCCTGTAGATATCCCCCAGATTCCCTGCTAGAATCCATTGCTGAATCTGAGAAGGAAGAATGACACCTTATAGAATACCTTTTCATTTGTCTCATTGCAGACAGAAGGAAAAAAAAAAAGAGAAAAGAGAAGAAGAGAGAGAGGGGCACTGTCTCAGCTCAGATCCTTTATATCTACAACATAAAGCAGTACATAAATTAATATATATATATATATATATATATATATGTATAAAAGCAACATATTGAAAACAGGGAACACTTATCTACAGTGTTGCATCTGCTCCAAAGCAAAATTCTCAGTGGCTCTGATTTAGGCAAAGGATTTTTCATGAGGTGTGAATTTATGGCTAACCAGCAATGCCTCTAAAAAATATAGTGATATCACAGAAAAATTACCCAACCATCAGAAAGTCAATAGTGAACACTCCTTTGGCACCAAAGATACCTGCAGGGCTGTTTGCTGCTAGAGACAAAGCAAGCAGTAGCCTGGGGACAGGAAAGCAAACAAAGTCCCATTTTCCCTCCAAAAGAAACTCTGAAAATCAGGATTTTTTTCCTGTGACAAAGAATAGGTCAGGGTTAATTAGGTATTGCAGGTGGGGCAGTCCTCACCCAGCACCTCACCTCAATAACAGCAGCATGACCGCTGCCATTTAATAGCTCAGAAAAGCAACGAATCCCAGGGCCAAATTCCCCGAACTATCTCATATTTTACTACTTTTCATGAAGCTGCTATTCAAGCTGCACTAGCCTGATTGCCTTCGAGAAATTATCACTATTCAGCCACCAAGCCTCCTCTGTAGGCACTGTGGCAGCATCACATCCCTCAGGGCTTCATGTGTCACCCTTCAAAACCTCCCCAGGTATTTAATTTACACATTAAAACTTCTGCTGCAAACGAGAGTGCTGGTAATTAAAATATTTTCAGGGAATCATCTGTGAACAGGCCAAGCAGCTGATTTTGTTACTGTGCATGTCCTATCCTGCAAGTGTCCATCCCCCAGCAGAGATGTATGAGCCATTCCCTGTGGGCTTCTCATCTGCCAGGCAGTTTGTAGGAATTGAAGTAGTTCTCCCAGAAGGTGACAGAACTCAGGACACAGAGAAATGAAAACACAAATTCAGGAGGCTATTGGCCATTACTACCAAGCAAGTCTGCTAGAAACAGCATTACGTAGAAAATATATGTAAAATTAGGATGCCTCTGGCCCAAATCCCATTGTAAATAGCACCAGCATATACAGCCCTATTCTACCTTTATCTAAAATTCAGGATATTGATGACTCCATTTCCTAATCTGCAGACAAATGATGAAATTTACTACTGATTACCCAAGAGCTTTATAAATGTTACTAACAAAACATAGATGATTTTTGTACTCCTTTTCAATTTTCTCTGAATCTCTTGGAAGCCTTTTTGACTAAGGTACCTCATAGCTGAGCACCAAGAGTCTGGATGGAAATTAAAAGTGAGTCAGTCTGCCCATTCATCTATTCAAGCCACAGCACAGTTATTAAAAAAAACCCCAGGATCTATAATATGGATTTTGAGCTTTGACAGCACAGCCATTCTACTTAGCCACCTTTTATTACGGATCATTATTTTATTGATGATTTAATCACACTTAAATCCCATGGGGCTACTTCAAAATCCTGTCTAAAATGGAGACATAATTTCCCCTTAAATAGTTAATCAACTTGTCAATATTTTCATCACGTTCACTTCACTACCATTGCAAACCTTGCCTTGCCTGTTCAACTTTAATTTTATAAGAGCTGTGTATTACATTTCAGCTCCATATAAGTAACATACCGAAGCAGAACATGTTTTAGCTAATTAATGCTTCTGCAACTAGAGTCACTGAAAAATATGCATCAAATATTTATGTAATTGGCTCCCCAAAGAAGTAAAGCCTTGTTCTGAGTGCTGAGAGATTGAAATACAAAGTCCAAAGACAGAGCACAAAAGACCCCAGTCTTTTTCCAATGCTCCATTACTCTGTATCCTCCTTGGCTTCAGGAGGCATTCATTAACAGGGATAATGGTCTAGGACTCGTATTAAATTTCCATATCCTTTTAAATTTAATGTTAGCTACTATTGGGCTTTCCTCTGCACTTTGGATGAATGAATATTTTGAGGCAATTAAATGTCCATACTGAGTGCCTGCAAGGTGTCTCACATGTACTAAGGACATGAGATGTTTTCCTTGGAGTATCCACACAGCGCATTGATAGATTTTGGAAAAAAAAATGGTTTTTTTTTTTCAGACTTTTAAATACTACTGAATTAAGCAATATACATGACATGATTATGGCTATGCTTTGTCCTTAGCAGCTGACAGGAGAGAGGCCTTCTCCCACTGACAAATAGGAAGCACCTTACTGCAAAAAACCAGTGAATTTTAACCCCATAAATAAAATCAACTGCAGCACTATAAGCTTTGATTTGAGTCAGGCTGGGGAGGTCTTGGCTGGTTGGGTTTTTAAGTCTATGTGGATTTTTTATTTGAGTCAGGCTGGGAGGTTTGTTTGGCTGGTTGGGTTTTTAAGTTTACATGGATTTTTCTCCCCAAAAATTCAGGAGATTCTGAAAGGGAAAACTTTTTCCCCTTTTGATTAGACAGCTTGTGTGTTGGGGAAGGACAGGAGGAAGGGTGGGGGACAGGAGTGACTCTGTACACACACAGTTAGAGAAGTGATGGAATGTCTTTTTTTGTAATTTTCAAAATCAATTCATTTTTTCCATAAAAGAACTGATCAACAATTTCCTGTGAACTTCCCAGTTCCTTTACAAAAAGCCTTTTTCTCTTCATAGTGAAGACTGTGACAAAAAGGACTTTTTTGATCAACACTTTATGACATCATTTATCACTTTGTATATTATTTAAGAGCATGTTCCATCACTTGGAAGGAGGCCAAAACAGAATTTGTATCCAGCTAGACTTAGGGTAAGCAATGTGTCAAATAATCAAATCCAAATCTCCTGCTTGACTTTTTGGGTTCTGACAAAATTCAGAACTGAAAGGGGTCTTCAAAAACAGCTGTTCTCCTGGGTTTTATGCAATTTGGTATAAAAATCATAGCAGTAAGATGGTCATGTACTGAACCAAAACCCTAGAGCACATCATAAAAGAATCAGGATCTGAGATCACTTTTTTCTGCTCAGTACAAGGATGGCTCAGCCAGGCTGTGCAGTGAAATACAACCCAGAGCCACCTGCAACTCAGAAAATTAAGCAAGGAAAATGTTAAGAGTCAAAAGACTTTTCTATTTCTTTCTACTCCTGCCAGTGATTTAATTATGCATACACTATGCTAAGCCAGTCAGTCTCAAATTTTCAGATTCAGTCTGTGATTTGCTCCATGTTGTGGAAGTGTTGACTGGTTGCACTGGAAGCAACACGAGCTGTAAGTTCTCACCACGTACAAAAAGGTACTCTAAATCTCTCAAATTTGGTGTCAAGAGCACCTAAAACCAGAACCCAGCAGGGATTTCCCTTCATTGGATATAAATATCCATGACTTTTAAAGGGGCACAGAGGGATAGTAGAGAGCTCAATGCAACAACATGGGATTTGGAAGACCTGTGCTCAACTGACTGGCAACAGCCAAGTAAAATAACCACAGCTCCCAGCTGACGTGAGCATAGGGTCATTCCAGCATCACACACATGGAAGAATAAAAACATCATAGGCTGGGATCTTCTCCTGTCAAAGCATAGGGGCTGCTCATTTTGGGGGGAGGGAATGAAGGAAGGACACAAAACTTACATATGGCTGAGAAGAAAGCTGAGAGTCACACTGAAAATATTGTGAGGATATACGAAATGTCTTAGCAGTGTTCCAGCAAATTACTTAAGAGATACTTTCTTCATTTTAGCAATATTTAAGTTGTTGGGGGGATTTTTGGTAGGAAAAGTGTGTCTGCTTCATGCCATAAGAACATTTAGACAAAGGAATACATTTTCACCTGAAGTAAGATTGAAATTTCTACTCAACGCTACATTAAACAACAATAACCACCATGTCTTTCTCAGGTAGAAAGGACCAAGAAACACAAACACACCCTGGCCACCTTCTTAGCTTCACACCATTTTTTGGGCATCCAAAATGTCCATTATCCAGCGGGACACCCGATGCCATGTATGAGGTACAAATCTCCCCCTCTTACCTCAGGGTCTTTCTCGATCTCCAGCCCCGCCTCCAGCAGGTTGCGTTCGTACTCCTCCCGCTGCAGCCGCCTCTCCTCCTCCAGGGTGTCCAGCGGGCTGAGCTCCACCACCTCCAGGCCAGGCAGCCCTGGCCACTCCTGCAGGGCACGCTGGCTATCGTCCTGCTGCTGCTGCTGCTGGGGCTCAGCACGACCCTTCCCAGTGCTTCCATTTGAAACCAGGGCCACGGAGGCAGATCCACACCTCGGCTCCGGGGAGGCGGCACCAGGCACATGGCGGGCCAGGCGTTTGCGGTAGTGGTAGGCCAAGACGTAGTCGACCTTTCTCTTGCTGTCCCTGAAGTGCAGGCCACTCGGGGAGGCCTTGTCCCTCGCCCCTGTCTGGGTCCCTTCCACATAGTTGTTGATAATCTGGGACAGAAACATGGGAGTTGCACAGACAAGAAAGCCAAAAGGCCCAAGTAGGTGGGGGGGGGGGTCTATCTCCACATGATCACATGAAGCCACTAAGAATCCAGGTATGACCTACAAATACTAATTTTGCACACCAGCCTCACTTCATTCCTCCTCTGGCCATAAACTAAACATAGTTTAGTTTAGTTTATCCCAACGTTTGGGATTCCTAAGCAGGTACAGAGGCACACCCCAACTCTGCCCTATTCTGCACGTGCACAAACCAAGGGGAGAGGACACCCACATTATGAAAGGGCACAGAGAAGTGAGAATAAGGACCACATTATAGGCCATGTGCCATGTGCTGTGGAGCAAAGCAGGCAGGGAAGGGAAGCAAAATCAGTGTTGGAAGGGAAGAAATCAATCTTAGCCAGAATAGGAGAAATATATCTTTAATGTGGTTCAGAAGGTGCAGAAGGGCCAGGCTGGACAGAAACACTTTTGAAAATACCAGGGATTAGAAAGGATATGTCCCATGAATGGCTAGCCATGCTAGCTTATATTTTAACATATGAAAAGACTGTAGACTGGCCAGTAACACAGTAATTCCTGCAAAAAGAAATCTATGGCTAAAATCCTTCAAACCACCCATGTTGCATCCAGTCAGCCCCTCAGACCATCCCTGCTTCACCATCTCCCTCTCAGAACCCTTCTGGGATGCAGCTCCAACAGTAATCCTGCCATCACTCATCAGCCTGGATGGGAATTCTGCAGCATTCATGTGGAAGTCTGACACTGAGGCATTCATTAAAGGCAGCCCATGAGTTTTTGAAACTGTTTGCAGCCACCATTTCCAGCACAATGCTGCCGTGTAAAGCCCTTCAGAGAGCTCTCTAGAGTGTTTTGCTTCACATACTCTCCCACAAAGCAGCTTTCAGTCGTCACGTCACTAAATAAATCTTGGGTTTACATGTATGCTACATCCTTCATCCTTTCACAAAATTATCACTGAGTAATCTGTTCTGCACATCACACTCATCACACCCTTCATGTCTAAAGTATATATACAGTCCTTTTAGGCACATCCAAAATTACACTCAGCACTACATCCTGGCAGAATATAAAACTGCTTTTGAGACATCCTTTTATTTCAATTCCCCATTTCCTGATTAGATACATTTTCATGTATTACTCACGGGAAGCCCATGCAAACTCTCCAGATCCATCTCTGCCCCAGCGAGGGAAAACCCGTGGCAGATTTCTAGTGTCCCTCCCAGAGAGTTTCAGGCTATACAGTGCAGAAGGAATGATGTCACCACAGCAGGTCACTGGTGCAAGGCAATGCATTAGCTGGCTCTAGAGAAGATGAGCTCTGAGGATCCTCTCCTCCCTTACTGGAGAGTGTGGGCAGAACCAAGAAGCACGAACAAGAAGTAGGAGAGGGAACAAGGAGGTTGTAGAATGTGAAAATCACTCCTAGGTTTTCCTGTTTGTTACTGTGTGGAGCCACCTGCCACATCCCAGCCACCTGAGAGAGCACCATAGCAACACTTGGGGTTGCTGGAGTTACACAGGGGATGAGGAGAGTCAAGAGTGATACCCTCTCCATGGACTCTTTTCCTCTCTCTTGGCAGCAAGATGCCATCCCCGTAATTATGAGTGTCCAATTCATGGAAAGCTAATTAAAATTCCCACAGATTTCACTAAAGACATTTCCTGCCCCTAAATTTGCACTGCTTGCCTTACCATGTGACATTCTGGCACAAGAAGAATTTTTTAGGGAGGAACACAAAAAGTCACAATTTCAAAAATGCCTCTGAAGGAACTATCAAGATCTTTCTCTCCTCCTCTCTCACAGCCACTGTAAAAGTCAGAAGCAGTGATGTAAATGACCAGCTTAAGTCCTGCTTTCACTGCCTCTTGATGTTTCCAAGACAAGAAATCATCACACCAAGGAATAAGAAAATGGGAAGGTAGGATCAGCACTTTATGATTATTTTGTTCTAGTGGTCTGGTAGCAAATATATTACTACAAATACATCCCAAATGTGCCTCCTCTAATGACAGCTCTCCTCTGAATGCTACAGCCACACCACACTTCCACATGGAATCAATCCAATCCAGCCCCCTTGGTCACAGCTGACTCTGGGTTGACACAGGAACACCCAATTTAGTGATCAACCTGCAGATCTTTTCTGCCACTGGGGGTAAGAGCAACCCCCTACATTCCTGCTCTGAAGGATTTTGGCCAAAGTAAACAATCCAGAAATCTTGGTGAGATTACTACTGCAGAAATTAATTCTTGCTGTACACAGAGAGACAAATGAACCACCTGAGGCTGTGGTATCACTTTCCTCATAAAGATTCTTCTTCCTGTTCTGATTTAACCAACACACAGGAGAGTGCACCCTGCTCTTCTCACTCTGCTTCCAGCCTCTTCATAATCCCAAATGCACTTGACCTAGGTCAATGAACATGAAACCCTACTTACAGAACTTCTGTAGGACACCACTGATGCTTCAAGAGTTCCATTGGTCCCGCTTCTGCGCCAGGAAGTCCGATTCTGAGGAACAGTCAGGTATTTGCTATTGTAGGCTGAAAAAGAGTCCCTTGCTGATTTTGCTGTCTTCTGTCCATTGCGAGCTGGGTGTGAGGAGGGTAGAGAAAAGTCTAAAAAGGAGAGATAAATACATAAAGCAGGTTTTGTGCAGGTGGTTCGCTAATGGAATGTAAAATACTGCAGTCAGTAGACACTATTCGTTTCTAGTGATATGAGCAAATCCAGTGGCATCAGGTAGAGGTACAAACTTGTGGATAGTGGTCATTCTTCATAAAGAACTCTTTACACATGTGAAATGCTCATCAAGTATATCTAAGATTATACCTACATATTCTGGTCTTTGGGGGTAATATCTGGAATTTTTAGACATGCTCCCCATCTCTTGCGTTTGACAAATTACATGGTCACAGTAGCAGAATGATGGAGGGTTTGGAGGGGATGGAGATCATCACAGAATCACAAATGGGTTGGAAGAGACCTGCAAGATAACCTCATTTCTATCCCCACTGCCAAGGGCAGGGACACCTTCCACTAGCCCAGGTTAATCTGAGCCCCATCCAACCTGGCCTGGAACACTGCCAGGGATGAAGCAGCCACAGCTGCTCTGGCCAACCTGTGCCAGGGCCTCAACACCCTCACAGGAACAATTTCTTCCCAATATCCAATCTAAACCTGCTCTCTGTCAGTGTGAAGCCATTCCCCCTTGTCCTGTCACTCCAGGCTCTTGTTAATAGTCTCTCTCCATCTTTCCTGTGGGCTCCCTTCAGGCACTGGACGCCCTTAATGAGGTCACGCCAATGCCCTTTCTTTTCCAGGCTGAATATTCCCAATTATCTGTCTTTCTTCACAGCACAGCTGCTTCACCCCTCTGATTCTCTTAGAGGCCTCCTCACTCCAACAGGTCAATTCCATACTGGCAGTAGTACAGTGAAAAATGCTAATAAAAACCAGTGGATACAGAACCTGTTTCAACACACAAATGTTTCATACTCTTTCCCCCTCTAGTGGAGCCACAGTTGAAATGGGATTGACTGATCCATACTCTCATTCTCTTGGAAAGGCTCTTAGAGGGAAAAACCATGTCTCGGTCCTTCCAGCATTAGTGTTTTATATCCAGGAGAAGACATCCTGTACACATCTGCCTACATGGTCAGCACCATCATCACTACAGAGACAATACACCACTGCCTCTGTCTAATCAGGACTTTTCTCCAGGAATAAGAACAACAGCTTCCATCTATCCAGGGAGACACCACATCCATTGTGGTGTCTAAAGTCTGGAGGTTGTATTTCCCCTTCATTTAGCTGAGACCCTTCTATCCCCTATACTCAGACTGAAACTGCTTCCCCACCACCACATTCTGAGAGGAGACAGTAGAATGCTAAAGAAGGAAATGCTTGGACAAGGGTGTCTGACCCCTAAATGTAATGATTATTCTTATATTTCCTATCAATACCAGATTAGGGTCCAGCAGCACTTGAACAGTCCAACAGATTGACTCACTAGTCTTCCCTGTCTCATCTCCTGAGCAGACTCATGCTTGGCTCACTTTAACGAAGCACGTAATGATGCCACGAGGGAAACTCCAAGAAAAATAATTAATAAGTGAAGGTTTCATTTCCAAAGGCTGCACACAATGTTTCTCCAGTATTTTCAGACTAAGTCTGGGATATGTCACAAGACCTCTACACAGTCAATTAAAGACCTCTTTTACTTTCCAGTCCTTTTAACTAGGCCTAGGGAAAACGCTGCTGTTCATTTATAACATGATTTCATCTCCATTATGCTTCCAAGCCTCCAGAAACTGTAAGAGATTAACACTGGTAAACTGGTGAGGCAGTCAGGGACTCCCAGTCAGAACAAGTTTTTTGATGAAAGTGCAATTGCCATATTTGTATCTGGAGGATTCCTGTTCTCCCAAAAGCTTTTCAACTTCCTAAATTAAACCAATTGAACCAAAATGTTTTGGTTTGAATGCATTCCACATTTGATAGTACCTGCCTGGTACAGCACTGCCTCAGAGGCTTCTGCTTCAGATGCAGCCTGACCTCATTCCACCCTGTAAGCCTTTATGACATCTGGCCTTACATGTTCTCATTCTGTAAACATTCTGGAGGAATTAGTATCTATAGAAACAAGCTCTGTGTATGTGTATGTATGTGAATATATATAAAATTTTAAATATGCACACATGCATGGTTTTGGTGTATATTTACATATATATGTATCTTCAAAGAACAGCAGTACAGGGAATCTTGACTTCAACTTAGAAAGCAAATGTTCAGGAACTACACTCATTCTACAAAAATGGCTGGGGAGCATCCCTCCAGTCAAACTCCATTGAGTTGTAAATGGCTTCTGAGGACAAGGTACCTCCAGGACAGAGATCGGTGACCAGTTCCAGTTTCAGTTCACAGCCAGTCACTACCTGCTCACTCAGCCTCTCGGCACTCCTTTGCCTCAGCTTTTTGGAAACTTAAGAGTTGCCCACATGTGCAGCAATTCACCTCACTGTTTGTGTTCCCAGGTCCTTGTCCAAAATGCCACCATGAAGAAGTTGCATAGACTGCCAAAAGTGGAAGGACTGAGAGGGAGTGTTAAAGGACCACACTGCTTGTGAAAGAGGCAGTAAAGGAGTCTGCCTAATTAGGAGATCTGTATTAAATCTTGAGTAACAGCCAATTAACTGAGCTGAGTGGTCCAGATGATCAGATTATCACAGCACAGCTACTTGCAGAATACGCTGCAAGTGGTTTGGTTATCCAAGGCACAGACAGGGAACTGCTTTCATTTATCTTCCTCTCTTTTTAGATAAGTGTCAGAAAGGATCTGCATTTCTGAAGGACACCAGAGTTAGAAGAATACTCCTCTGCAAGGCTGTTCAAAACATCTGCAATTTAGGAACATTGCTTGACAAACTCCAACCCCCAAGTAGGGATGAAAAAAAACCTACTTGAACTTACTGTTTCCTTGTAGCTTTACTCAAACATCTTTCAAAGGACATATATATATATATATATATATATATATATATATATATATGAAGAGATGGTTATACACATGCTCTTTGGGTTCTCAGTAAATCATGAATTTTCAGGTCTGAATGTAGATGTAGAAGTTCAGCTCATGCCAAAATTAGTTCTTGTGCACATCTCCACCAAACTCAAATATAATAAAGCATGATTTCCTCCACTGTGTCTTCAAAACCACCATTTTAGTGCTTTTTAAGAATATATGAATTAGACAGACAAGGCTGTTTGGGTTGTCTCTAATGCCATCTAATTTGCAGCCTCTGTGTTCAGGGCTCACACAGTACCTCTCAGACTGCAGGTGGAAAGGATAAAACAACAAACCCTGACTAATGCCAAACTAATCTGGACAGTCTGAGTGCATCTGTTTGTCTGAACCCCATGCTAACACTCAGTTTGAAATGTCCTGAGCCTCCAGGACACCCAGCAGGAGAATCTCTTAGGTAGAACTCAGTATCTCAGTTGTATTTCTCTACATTTGTCTGTACATAACGCAGATATCCTTTGTCTTTCCACCTCCAAACACGATTGGAGAAGAAATACTCTTTATAAAGAGAACCATCCAATTCTGAGTTTACTTATAGGACTGATTTTAATAGAAGCAGTTAAGCAGCAAGGGACTAAACACCTAAGTAGTTCTTGAACCATTCTAAAGAGAGAAATACAAGAGATAGCTAAAGAGCATTCTAAAGAGAGAAATAAAAGAGATAGCTAAAATTTAAAGGTCAAATTCTATTCTTCTATTATTCAAATAAGGAATTCGAAGTTCACAGGAGAGATACAGCCCCAGAAACAATGAGATAACATGAAAACAACCACAGAGCTTTTGACTGTGACAGCAAAAGAACAATGACTCAACATCAGCACTGAAAGTTATTCTAAACTCGTATACTGGGAACTCCAGCATGAAGGTTTTATGCAAATAAAAGACTCAGCAGATTTGCTCCTTTTGTATGGGAATTTAGAGCTCAAGGCTGCCCATTTTCTCCTGGAAAAGGATTTTGCTTACTCCCTACAGCTGCAATGCAATAAGGCAAATGCAGGGGGAAACAGCAGAAGACCAGCACAAGGCATTTGCCTAGTGATTGTCTTTTCCACGTGGATCACAACACTGACCCACAGCTGCTCTTCTGAGGCTTTAGGAGAAGTGAACTCTGCATATTTTATCTCTGAGCTCTCTGTGTGTAACTAGGCTGTGGCTGCAGATTTCTCTTTATTTTTTTTTTTTTCCCTAAAAGAAGACAGAGAAGTCCTTCCAAAGTACTCCTTTCTTTGTTCTCCACCCCATCTTGGCCTATCCCTCTTCATAGGCAGCAATAAGAATGAAACAGAAAATAAACTTACCAGGCATATGTGCTTCCATGTTGCCTGGAGGTTTGGCTGGAAATTGCGTCAGTGCTAAAATAGGATGTGGCTATGCTGTGCACAATCTGCTTCTGCACTGGCTTAAGGAGAGAACAGCACCAGCAGCTATTTCCATCCTGCCTTGATCCTGCTTTAAGCAAACCACAAACTGAAGCTAATTAGTGAGATCTTCTGGTTTGGTGATTACCAACCATCATGGAGGGAAGAGAAGGAGAAAAGACCAAACTTCCATGACCTGAGAGGCCATGGCAATTCTCTGCTGGAGAATTTCAGCACTTTGTCCTCATGTTCCATAGCACCTCAAGAAACAAGGTATCAACAGACATACTTTGTCCAGAAGGCAGTGGAGAGGGAGGAAAAAGGCTAATGCAGATCCAGGGCTCTACAGCAGAGCCAGTTCTGTGCAAAGAATCAGCGCTCAAGGATCAGATTGTCTTGGAGGTGGTTTCTGTGGGGAGGTGTGTCTTTGTATCTACAGAGCTTCCCAGTGCTTCCAGGTAGGAGGTAAGTGCAGAAGGCTTTTTATAAGGCTGTTTCAAGTACTCAAGTTACTTCAGTGCCTGCATGCACTGTCATTCCTGCATGAAATATTCAGGGGATTATCTTGAAATCAATGGTCTAATCAGAACAGGTGATGGATCCTGCTCAGCCTTCAACCTTGCAATTTAAGCAACTATAGGGAAGAAAAGTTATTGATGACCAATGCTATCTGAGAAAGGACTCTTATTTGCTAATGATAACTGAAGAGAGATGTAACTAATTCGAGTCCAAATCTTTTTTCTTTAAGCCTGTTTATGACACTATGATGGTTTTTCTAATGTGACAGGGAGAAATGGATTTATTCAATGCCTGAATAAAGTCCAGTGATTCTGCGATCTTGTAAATCAGGGTAGTGCACTGTGTCATGGCTGGCAAGGGTAGAAGTTGTCTCTGTCACAACAGGGTTTGATGCACCCTGGTTGTGCTATCAAACCTGCTGAGTACATAAAAGGAGCAGTGCAGCTGTTGTTTCCCAAAACTTGGGCTGGGTGATGTAGAATGTTCCCAGCAAGACTAAGAAATTTGTATGGGATTTTAAATTCATTAAACCCCTCCACTCTTCTTGGTCCCTACTTTGAAATGGCATTTATTATCTTCTAACCAAAATATCAACAGGTATCAAATACTTTCTCCTTTTTTTAGCACTATCTTATAGTACTCTCATAACTTCTTTCAGAAGTTTTAAAAAACAATTAATCTGTTTCCTAGACAGGCAACAAATCTCCTGCTTTCTACACCTATCTCAGGGAGAAGGAAATGAAAATGTTCTGAAACTTTTGCTATTTTCCATCCACAGTCTATGCTCCTCCAACTAAGCTCAAAACCAGAAAGGCAAATCCTGGCTAATTCTGGAATAGTATAGGAATGTAGATCCAGGTCCTGCTGGGATCCCTGTCAACTTATAGCTCTGCCTGCACAAGTTCCAATTACCAGCTTCTATAAGCCATAAGGATGGGTGTGTTACAGGTAATACACTTATCTCAGGTAATAATATACACAGCAATATGAGAGGAAGCAACATCCAGGTGCTTAGAATGGAAGTAGTCTATTTTTAAGACTTTCCAGCAGAGAAAATGTGGAAATCATCTTTCCTGAGGTACTTGGGTATGGTGCAAATTGATAATGCAGAGCTGTGACAAATAATACCAATATACCTGCTCGTGTTTCACCTGCTGTAGGGGAGTGGTGCTTGCAAGTCTGTAAATTTAGCAGAGAGATTAGATGTTTTGAATTATTAAGGAGTTATATAAAACTCCTCCCCAAATCCATTCAGCATTCCTGTAAATCTATCCTATGGCAACACTCAACAACCCAGCTGGTGGTCTGAAGCAGTGGGATGTGCTCCTAATCATTGGTGGAAAGATAAAGGCCAAGGTTGTTCAAACCCATCAAGGCTCACAAACAGTATGTATGGACTTGAGAAACAACATTCTTCAAAGCCTGGCTTCTGCTGGAGAATGCAAATGGAGCAGGGAGATGTAGAGTACTGTGTGATGTGCTGGCACACTTGATCATACGCAGGACTGTGCTCTTCACTCCTGCCAGGGAGAAATGCTGATGAAAGTATTGGAATTGCGCTAATTGCAGTTGCCTGTGTGAAAGGCAATGAAACCTGCACAGAACAGGTCTGAGCCCACTGGCTCCCTGGGCAAAAGCCAGACAGTTCTTTTGGGGCAGACTGCCTGAAAATGTTTGATTCTCACGCAGGCAAGTAAAAGTTACAAATGTATTTACCTCCTCAGCCTGTTAAAGAAGATGGTATAACATTCCCTTCTGCTTTTTCTTCCTTGCCAGTTTTTTTCTACAAAAGGATTTTCAAAGAAGATTCTTCTGGTCTTGCTCATGACGGGGGGGTTGGAATACACAGGTCTGAGTAACAATATGTAGACCACACCAAAGTCCCCAGAAATTCCAGCTGTAAGTAAAGCCAGTAAGTGCTCTTCTCATGGGCTGCATTGTACTGACTCAGACAGTTAATTATCTAATTAGAAGACCAGTCTGCAGCCATGAAACCTTAGGCTGCAATCCTGTCAGCAGCTTTCATGAGCTAAGAAGGGTCAGTCTGGGTGAGGGCACAGGCTGAAACAAAGGGACATCCCAGCCATGGTAAGTGGAAGAGGATGACATTTGCCTTTTACTCCCTTCTCTCTTGCTCCTCTCTGATGTTGCAGGTTGCTATTCCAGGAATTGCTGATCTTCAGCTTCAGATGAACTGTTGACTACCTGGGTGATCCAAATGCATCTGTCAGGGAGCTTAATATCTAGAGGCAGCTAGAGGAAGGAACTGGTGTAAGGGTTGAGGTAAATTGGTGACAAATCTACTCCAGCAAGTGGGGCTGGTGCCAATTAAAACCGGGTTTCTCTCTCTGGTATTACTGTGGACTATAGCAGAAGACACAGATGCATGGAAGGCCTGCACTTCTACCACTGTGCAGCAATAAAGGTTGTCTTGAAAGAATATTAAAAACAAAAAGGGCTCACAATTCAGGGTGTGTTGAATCCACAACTGACTGACAAGAGAGAAGCAGCAGGGATCTGCCTGGTTCCTCTAAAAAAGAAATACAACTTAGCTTTTTAGTAGAAAGCACAGGAGTTTTTGTTTGCTCCCAAAGGGAGCTTTCCTTGCAGTTCGGGAGATGCTTTCACCCATTTAATCATGTCAAAGTGCCATTCATTATTTTAAAATTGTTAGTTAGAAGCTTAAATAATTCTTGTCTTTCAAAAACACATGTGGCAATAACAGTCCTCCCTCTCTCATATTTTTGAGAAATTAGTACTTCCCAGTGAAATTGCTTCACTGACACAAGATTCCTCCAGGACCAACAACACTCTGCAAGATCTTTTGTGTTCCATGGCTCAACTAGACAAAGTAAAATTTAAATCCTTGTAAATATATACCTGGCAGCAATAACTAAATTACACCTGCCACTGCAAATTCTGCATCTAAATTAATTCCAACTTTTGGAACAAATGCAACAGGTGAAGTCCAGGCACCTGGAAATAGGTGAGATAGCCACGGAGCTTTCTCCTCGAGTTGGTCTGGGCAAGGGCTGAAGTAAGAGCTGTCCTTAAACCTGTACGCATGTCTTGAGGATGTGCAGAATTTACACAGTCTGTCCTCAACACACAGTTTCTTTTCATTCAGCTTCAGGAGAAACATGCATATGCATTGCAGAAAGATATTTGGTTGTCTGAGCCACAACCAGTATTGTGTGTGTACTATGAACATCCTATTCTTACTCTGAAGTCTTATCCCATAATTACTGTACTCCCTGAAAAGAATGGGAGGAAAAAGAGCAAAAAATTATAAGTCCACTGTGTGTCACTAAGGACTGAAGTGGGGAATGAAAGTGTAATGTCTCTGCAGACAACATCAAATGATTTGGGAAATATTCTTTAAGTGTAAGCAACTGCTTCTGAGCATGATTTATTTGTGGTTGTCCTTTTGGGATTTTTATCAATAATGTGAATTAATTTCCACAGTGAAATGAAGATAATCTCTTTCCTACAGTCCACCCCAAGATGAATCAGACCGCGATCTGTTGTGCTGGTAAGCTTTATTGTTTGCTGTGTCTATACAATTTTTCAGGATTCAAATGGATAAGGCAGTGTACAGAGAATATTAGGCTTGCATTGTGAAGTTCCTCCATCATAAAACTTCAGATTAAGCAGCTGGGCTTCAGGGCAATATTCATGGTGTGCACGCGCGAGCATGGCATTCGCACAGCGAGGCAGAGGGGATGTAGAGTTGCACCATGGTCCCATTGGGACAGCGCAGTGGGATCGTCACCGTGGTGGTCTGAGTGGCTGTACAGCAGCTGCAGTGGTCTTCCCACTGTCCTGTATGAGCAGAGTACCTGGTGGTGCTTCTGCACTTGCCCTAAGTGGAAAAAGAAGAGAGCTGAAGTTTGAACAGAACCTCATGATACTCAGAATCCTGGTTCCTTCCTTCAAAATATCCATGGGTGACTTTGTCCGGCTTCCATGCTCTGCTGAAAACATGAACTCAGAAACAGGTGCCTGGGTCCAGAATGCAGGGTGCTGCACAAAGAGTAACTTCTTATGAGCATAATCAGAGCAAAGGAGAGGTGAAGAAACTGCTCACACACACAAAAGAGCCCGGAATTTAAAATCTTATAGGGAATGTCCAGAGCTATGGTGTTGGCTTCTGAGTAAATGTGGTTATCATGCATTCAGAAAGTGCTTTAGCCCAAATGCTGCAATCCACACACCCACTATTGTCCTGCTGGTGCTATTATTTCTTGTTCTGCTTGTCTGGCCACTTAACTAAATTAGACCAAGCTGTCAGTGCCTGTAGCTATAAGCCTTCATGATGTCAAAATAAGTAGCCTCACATAACACTCTCTCAGAGTCCATTTCCTTTGGTGGCTTTGTGCTCTTATTTCCCAGTCTAATTAAATTAAAATATCTTACCATTATCAGGGACGACTTTAGAAA